AATAATAATAATAATAATAAGTAAGTAGAAGAAGAAGAAGTCAAAAGACGGTTCCCACCTCCCACAAATATGATTGAAGGAATTGCCATACCGGATGACAAAGCAAGCGTGAAGGGGACCAGTGCTCTCAGTGCAAATTATTCTTACTTTGACTAATTTTAGTGCCTATTTCTGTGTCTCAATATTTTTATTTTTATTTTTTTATTGAGTGAATCAAATTATTTGAGTCATCCATCTTTCTTCACGGGTAATCATGATCCTCTTTTTCAAGAGGATTTTCTTTTGGAAAAAATTTTAATTTATAGGATTTAATATAAATAATTATTAAATATGACCTATTATATGAAGAGAAAATAAAAATTAATTATACACATTTGTGTAAATAGTAGAATAAGTGATCCTATGTTTAAGTTTTATTTTCCCTTTTCTTAACAAATTTGAATCATTTTAATATATTTAAACGGTCAAGTTTACATAAACAATTTTTGTTTGGGTCCATAAAAATTCTAAAAGGGGAGACAGAACCTAATTATAAGCATTTAAGGGTCTTGGTGATTAGTGTTTTACAATGAAAAGAAAATTTTAAATAGTACAAAATTTCATTTTTAATCCACTTAATTAATTAAATATTGATAATTAAGCTGTCATTTTACAAACAGTGAATTTGGTCCGAGAGTGTCATCGTGGTCAATTCAAAGCAATCATAATGTCTACCGCAGGTTAAATTAAAGTACCGAATTCAAAGGAGGTGAAAAACACATAAATCAATAAGTTGTCGATTGTGGGAGAAAAAATATATGAGCAAATAAATTTAATCTGTGCAATGTCAGTCTAATTTCTTCTTTTTTATGTTTTAGTCAAAATTTTTATTATCTTTTAAATTTGTATGATTAAAAACATGAAATTAAGGTCATTTTCAAACTTGATATATCCAATTATCCTAGTTTTTATTATTTTAATTGTAAAAATTATAATAAATTAGGTATAATTAGTGTAATTAAAAATTAAAGGGAGAAAAGAGAAGCTAGGCATGATTCCCTTGACCCACAAAGCCACCTCCCAAGTCATGATAAAGTGGATCAACTTTAGTCGGTGCCATTAACCCTAAACCAAGCTTTTTCCAATCATTAACAAAGTAAAGAATTTTCTACCCCTTACGCAAATTTACAGCACGGTCATATTGCCAGAGAAGATATTGAAGACAGCGCTAATTAATACCACTTCGCCATATTGAAGATGTACAACAAAATTAATTTTACTTCAACATATATATCAAGTATTTAGATTAACTCTTTTCTAGTTGGTTAATTTAAAAATATTTTTTTAAAAAAATTAACTTTTATTTTTCTTACTGATGATTCAAATATGAAAGCAATTAAAAATTAAAAAAACTCAAAAAATCTTATTTTTGAGAAGTTTTTGTTGCTAATTTTGTAAAACTCCATTAAATTTTCTTGATATATTTGTTTTCCATTCAACACTCAATCATATAGGGAGGGAGAGAGAGAGAGAGATGAATAGTCAAAAATATCTTTTTTAGTTATTTATTTATACTTGTTTATGAATTTTTTAGATAACTAAACAAAAAATGTATGCTTTTCATTGTATACAAAAAAAAAAAAAAAAAGAAAGAAAAATTGACTAACCAAACAGTCTTAATAATAATCACTTGTCTGATTATATCAATTATCTGGCATGTATTATAGTGCATACGAGGTGGTAATCCTTTTATTAATTTGCTATAATATAAATATGATTATTAATGGTGTGGTATATCCGTTACAGTAAAATCTTCTCCTCCCTGTACCTTGACCTCCCCTCTCCCCTCCTATAAATTGTGAATCCATCCTCACCCATTTGCCCCCATCTTTCCTCCGTCCTCTTTCTCACACAAACACGCACAGACATACACAGAGTAGCTGAAAAGATGAAAGGTGGGTACATAGCAGTGTTGGCCATTGTTGTTCTGCTAGTGGAGGGATGCCACGTGACAACAGGAGCGACGTGCAACCCAATGGAGCTGAGCCCCTGTGCCAGTGCGATCGTGTCAGCAAAGCCACCAACTCCCATCTGTTGCAGAAAGTTGAAGGAACAGAAGCCTTGCCTTTGCCAGTACCTCAAGAATCCGAATCTCCAAAAGTTCATCAAATCTCCGAACGCAAACAAGGTGGCCGCCACCTGTGGCAGCCCATTCCCTAGTTGCTAAGCCTGAATCTCAGTCCACTACTACTACTCTCTTGTGTTGTTCTTGGGACTACAATATTACAATATTTCTACCCACTTGTGTTGTGTTACCCTACCACCTTCAAGGAGTGTCGCCAGTTTTCTAGTTTGTATGGTACTTGTTAACTTTAGAATATGGGAAATGGGCTTCTTTTTTTTCTTTTTTTTTTCCCTTCTTTTTTGGTAGTATGTGTGAGCTTCTGTTGATTGCTTTCAATGGTCAGTTCCCTGAATTACTGTTATATGTGAAAGCTAGTTCTAATCCACTTTATTTCCTTTTATTATTCCTCTGGATGTCTAGAAGATTAAACGAGGGAATACCCTCCACAGAGCTTATTCTTCTGGCTGTCCAGAAGATTATTGCCCTGATTAAAATGTATTTAGTTGGGCAACAGATTGGAGTGGAGGTAGTAGGAGAGTTTGGTACTCACTTGAAAGCGGCCACTACCACCGTGACGCTAGGTCGTGTGGGAGAGATCTGTCCTCGTGTGAGGTTACAAGAGATAAAGCCTCGCACTAGGGTTTTTATTGAACTCTTTATTCTCCTTTAGTAACGATATCTAATGATTGGAAAAATAAAAATAATATAAAGTAAAAAAGAGTGGGCATATAAATTGTTTATTTAAAATAAAGTTGGCTATGTTATAATACAATCCTGTTGAGAGAATATAAAAAAAATATTAAAAAAATATATTTAGTAAGTATTTTATAATAAGAATCATCGTTAGAGAATGAGATGGATTTCATCGTTAGAGTGATGGAATTTAGATTCTATTAGAATTTTTATTATATATATATTATTATTATAATTTTTTATTTTTTAAGTAAATGATGACAAAAATATTATATAAATATAAAAATTATAAGTATATTTAGTATTATATATTAATATAATATATATTATATAATTTATTATTTATGTAATATATATAACTTATTATATATATACATACACACACACACATATATATGAATTTAATATTTTAATATTAAAATAAAAAAATTAATTTTTAAATTTTTTAAATATATTCAGAACATATTAAAAATTAATTTTTTTTATTTTTAAATCTTTATGAAAGAGAGGTATTTTTGTCTAAATATTCTTTTCGTTTACTTCCTACCTCTATTCTAACATATTAAACGTAAAGATAGAATTTGAATTTTTATTCTATCGTATTAAATATTATCATAAAAATTTTAATTTTATCCAATTCTATCCCTATTTTTATTATATAAAAAATTATTTTATTTTATAATATCCAATCAAAAGATTAACATTAATCCGTCGCATTCAAGCGGGATTACTAATCGGAAGGCATTCTATCAAATTCCTGTATTAGCCCGACCTAATCCATCCTGGGTTAAGCATTAAACTAGTGTGTTCCCAGTGAGTGAATGGGCTACTTAAATCCCAAGAGCTCGAAGTCAAGATTTTAAAAATTTATAATCTTAAAGAGTTTGAGGATGCCAAGTCTATCAAAATTTTAAGAATTTAAAATTCCCGATATCTAAATATTCCATAGTGTCAAACACATCCCTAAAAGCCTGTAAAATTAGTAGTACGAAGATTCTAAGACCAAAAATGCCTTAATGGGCCTTCGGATGGATGATGTACATTAGAAACTATCTACCAGCTGCATTACGTCCACCAGTGGGCCTCCTCTCCGGTGCCCCGGCGGCTCATACCATAAAATTTAGATAATCCAAATTTGAATTTTATCTAAATTTTTAATTTTTAATAAATTAAATTTAATTATAAATATTTTTATATTTAAAATAAAAATAATTGAATATAAATTAAGTAATTTAATTTTTTAAAAATTTAAATACAAATTTTAATTTTTATTAAATTAATAATCTTATATATATAATTAATAAATTCAAATTTATAAAAATTAATTTGAACAATTAAAAAAATAAAAACCCATTTGATTAATAAATTAGAGTTAAAGAATTTAAACACAAAAGATTACTATTTTCTTATTGAATCAATTTTATTTGATCAAATTTCAAATTACCTATCAGATTTATATATAAATTAACAAATATAAATCTTACATTAATTGATATCAAATTTAAAATTGAATTTGAATTTACCTTATTCGATCCAAATTTATCTGTTAATAACCCTAATATTAGGTATTTACGTATTATTACTCTAATATCAAATCATATATAAAGTTATTTTGTTCGCTGAAACAGGCTCTTTACAGGCAAGGCTAAGTCCGCTTTCACTTTACCGCTACATCCATTTTCTTGCTACTCGGGGATTAAGAAGCTATTTAGCCAGGCTTGCTTCCTTAGTTATATATGTAATAATTTATTTTGTGAACCACTTTATTTTTATGTAAAAAAATGGATTTTTAAGTTCAGTTCCGGTCCCAGTCTAATTCATTTCCACCTTTGGAGAGAAGTTCTCTGGTTCTGGCTCTTATCGTGAAAACATGAATGATTCGATCGTATTTGAAATGATCAACAAGAATTAAATTAAACTAAACTAATGATACAATTATATGTGAAATAATCAACAAAACTTAAACCAAACCAAAACCAAGAACTCTCGCAGAGCTCTCCTATACAACAATTTCAAGTTCGATCAGGATTCAACCAGATTCAGGCACGTGCAAGTGTCGTTGTAGTAAATAAGACAGCTAGATTATTAAACATAAGCCCAAACTCAATTAATCTAGACGCTTACACACTATCTTCTATCTCATTCACACGAGTCACATACACATGGGAAAAATGAATGACAAGAATCTGTCATACCATATTGTTTAGCAGATATAATACTGCATATATTTTCTCAACTGAGGGACAAATGATCCTGTTCCAAGAAAAATGGAAAATATATTTATATAAACACCAATTAATCAGCACCATGCCATTCAAACCCATCTATTGTCAACAATATTATGAAGTTAGCTGTGATGCATATCAAGAAGGCAGCCACAATTTTTGACAATACTGTACATTCTCTCCACCAGAATACCCTTAGAATGCTTAATTATAGAGTTACAAACTAAGTACTGATAGTCAGGACAATATAAAAACAGACCTGCCCTCTCACCATTTACCTATATATGAAAGGGGGAAAAAACAAGCTGACATTAATAGCGAAGTCTACCACTGTTTACCCAGGCTTAGCTCAACCCTGCATTAGAGGCCAGAGCTATATTTTCTCCATTGATTTCTATTCCTAAAATTTCACTATATCCTTTTCTGTTTGTGTTTTTTTCCCTATTTTTTCAAAATGTAAGAGTCAGCAAATGGAACCAGACACCAACTCAGCATTTCAAACTTTCCCCACAAAAACCAAGTTTGAGTTTTACTCTAACCTACTCTCTAAAGGCAATAGTTGGCTCTCTCCTATGATGATACACTGCATAGTAGAAGGAAAATCTTCTAATCTCATCTACGGCAGAAAAAATGAAAATCTGGGTGATTGACCTGAAGCAGAGTTAACCATTTGTCAGCATCCTGCAATAGGGAGTTTAACTGTCGCTCAGATTCCCCATTGGGTGTCCACAACGATGCCTTGAACTTGTAGGAAGCAAGGCCAAATACTCGCAATGAAATCTTGGGGACACCATCCATCTCACTGGGATTAATCAAAACTGGGCCATTAGCACTCTGCACGCCTGTCATTTTCACAAACACGCCAACCAGAAAACATTTTATAAAATGAAGTGTACAGTTCTACATAGATTTAATACAGAAATTACATGGACAACCTGTGGAGCAAATAAACTTTTACTATTAAGCAGCAGAAACAAAATGGGAAATAATATCCTGAGACTTCAACAGATGAAAAGTCCAAGGCAGATATAGTATTAGGGAATAGGGAAAAGGTTCTCACAGTGCTTCACTTAGTAGTACAGAGAGTAATAAGAAAGGATTGAAAATTGAAAACAAATAGATAGCAGGACAAAAGGGGAGAGGGAGCAGTCAATCTGTTTTTACATTGAAGTCTCAGAAGTAAATTAGTAACTTGGTCCCATATGCAAGCAAGAATATACGGATTATATAACTTGAGCATCAACAACAGGAATAGGTGGCTCAAAAGGAAACAAAGACATAGGGTGATAGCAAAATATTGGTATTTAGAAATTGAAGACAGACAATATACAGTGGTTTCGGGAGAAAATAGCAAAACAGGCTACCTGTAATAATAGAAAGGGCAACAATGGCAATCACAAAGAGCATGCGCATATAAAAGTAATAATTATAGGCATATAAGTCTTTGTTTCAATAAGCCAACAATACACACTTCTAGTCACCTGGCATAGGCATATGAAGAAAGTGGAAAGTCAGGAAACACGCATCCAAATCTTTTAATGTTGGTCCCATTGGTATTCTGTAAATGGGATACCTACATCATCAATTCCACCAGTGAGAGGAAGTCACTTTCACCTAGTGTGTGCATGAGTGTGTTGTTATTTCTACTCATTCCAAAGGAAGGTGAGTAATCATACCATGCCACTGAAATCCAACTGGATGGCAGTATGTCACAGCTTCTTAATGTTTTCAGCTCAGGGAAACGAATTGCAAGATCCAATATCTATGATCATAAAGAATCAACATTCAGAAAAATAGAAAGCAAAATATGATTAGACGTTGAACATATTAAATGAGGCAAGACATGATTACCTTGTCAGTCAAAGGTTCACGACTGTAGGGTTGGTCTCTTTCAAAATACTCAAACAGCAAGCATCTACGAGTATTACCAGATTCACCTTCATCACTAGAGAAGCCTTCTTGGATGGTGTGCTGGTCTCCTGAGGATAACTGATCGATTCTAAGTGAACTTTCACTGCTTAAACAGTGTTGGTTAAAATGTTCTGTCATGGTATTCATGCATCTATCATGTTCAGAATCACTGCTTCCGTCACTACTTGAATCCCTAAAATAGTCACCATCACTGTCATCATCTGCTTGCCTATTGCACAAGAAAACATCAAATTTCAGAAGAGAACACGTTAAAAGTTAACCAATTAGTAAACAAAAAATCAATTAAACCAAATGATAGAACACTCCAAAATTTGGGGAAAATTAATGATATTTATTAGCAACAAAGCCATTGTGTACATAGCACAAAGCTGACAAGCAAAAAGATTTATAGAGGAAGCTCGCATATTAGCATGTTTTGTATTACAAAGCCAAGAAATGATGAGTAGTATAGAGGTGATTGATAATTATTCACATAGCTAAATAAAATGAAAACAAAGACTTCAAACCTCCAACTCTAACCCCAAGATTTACTAAAAGTATCTTTCATTATAAGAATTCAAGGAAGTCTATGCCACCGTTTCACCTACTAGAGCTCTCTTTTTCTATGAAAATAAATTTACAAGCTTCCTCTCCAACACTTGGAAAGCAAAAACATAATAGTTGTTAAATCAAGATTCATATCATGAATATAATTCCTAATTTTTGTGAATCATCAATTGAATTAGAATATTCTCAAACAAAACCATAAGAAATGAAAAAATGTATGCAACATGCAGATGATCCAAATCTACAGGTGGCTGAATCTATTGACTCATACAATTTGAACCATGAATCATAAAATTCTGATAAGTGATAACTATAGGAATGGATGCTTAAATTGCAATAAACAGATATAAGATCCTCATCCAAGTGAATGAAGTTAATACCAATCTGCATTCCAAATATGAAGAAAAACAAGAACAACTTTTTCTTCATTTTTCCTCCTTTCTTTTTCAGACTCTCTCTCTCTCTCTCTCTCTATGTCCAAACATAGTTCATGAAGAGTATCAGTTTTCAGAAAGTTTGTAAACAATCAGAGTTGTCTAGATGTCTTCTAAGCTAAGGTGACCAAACT